ACGGCCGAGGATCACGTCAAGCACTTGAAGTTGGTGTTGGAAAAGTTGCGACACCACAAACTGTACGCGAAGCGGTCGGAATGCCAGTTTGGGATGCGCTCAGTCGAATTTCTTGGCCGCATTGTTTCAGGCGACGGCATCAAATGCGACCCACATAAGCTCGACGCAATTTCCACCTGGCCACGACCAACGAAAATTGCTCATATCCAGAGCTTTTTAGGCCTGTGTAATTTCTATCGACGCTTTTGTGATGGATATGCTGGCCTCACTGCCCCTCTCAATCGCTTACTGCGTAAGGACGTTCCTTGGGAGTGGGATGATGCTTGTGAAAGATCCTTTCAGGAACTCAAGCGACGTTTATGTTCCGCGCTGGTGCTTGCAATCCCGGATCCTGACCGCCACTTTTACGTACACACGGACGCTTCATCAACGGTGTCAATTGGTGGTATCCTCTCACAGGAGCAGGACGACGGTTTATTGCATCCGGTTGCTTATGCTTCGAGGACGTTGAAGGGCGCAGAGATGAATTACCCGGTTCACGAACAAGAACTTTTATCAGTGTCGTACTGTTTAGAACAATGGCGACATCATCTGGACAGTCAAAAGTTCACAGTGTTCACGGACAGCCGCGCCATCTCGACGTTACACGCCAACAACAAGAATCTCTCCAAGCGTCAGATCCGCTTGTTGGAAAAGCTGATGGCCTATCAGTTTGACGTGCATCATATTCCTCGAGAACAGAATACTGGTGCAGACGCTCTATCAAAACGACCGCCCAACGCTCCTTCTCACCCCAACGTCTCAATGGAACTTTGTGCTGTGGTCCTCACAGTGAGGGGGGAGACGCTTGGCAAGGAATGCACTCAGCACTACAAGGACGATTCTTTTTGGGCAGACGTTTTGACTCGGCTTCGGACGAATGGCGACGACGAAGAGTTCGAACTAGCCAACAGCATCATCTATTGCAAAAAAGATGGACGACGGCAAATCTGTGTGCCGCGGATGCCAACGCTTCTCAACACCCTCTTGTATGACGCACATGACGCACCAATCGCCGGTCATCGCGGCATCGATGCAACGGTCGAACGACTTGGACGAACTTACTACTAGCCACATATGAACAAAACAGTGCGACGTTATATTGCGACGTGTGACATGTGCCAGCGTACCAAGTTACTAAATGCCAAAAAAGCAGGCTTGTTGCAGCCATTGCAACTAGCTTCTGGACGATGGACCTCGATTTCGGTTGATTTTATCACACACTTGCCGAAGACGCTACATAAGTTCGATGCAATTGCCATTTTTGTAGATCGGTTTTCAAAGCGTGCACATTTTGCTCCATGCAAGACGACTGATACAGCAGAGGATTTTGCTCATCTGTTTTTGCGTGAGATATACTGACAGCACAGCTTACCATCAGACGTAGTCTCGGATCGAGATGTCCGCTTTACTTCTAGATTCTGGAAGGCCTTGACGACGATGCTTGGGGTACAAAGAAATTTGTCCAGCAGTCTACACCCAGAATCAGACGGACAGACGGAACGCACGAATCGAACGCTTGAAGATATGCTTCGTCATTACATTGCATATAATCAATCGGATTGGGACGAATGGCTGCCGGTCCTCGAGCACACCTACAACGACGCCAAGCACGCTTCTACAGGGGTAACACCCTTTTACGCTGACTTTGGGACGACAAGTGTCACTCGCTTTGACCATGGGATCTGCCTCCTCCGATGTTGATTCAGCAGACGTTCTCGCTACACGTTTAGAGTCTATCCGTCTTCAAGTCACTGAGGCAACCAAGGAAGCAACGGATCACCAAGCTAAGTATGCCAATATGAAGCAACGTAATCTGGAATTCGACGTGGATGACGACGTATTAGTCAAGACGACCCACTTGAATTCTGATGTTTATTCTAACGCTCCCACCAGAAAGTTACTTCCATGGTGGGCGGGTCCTTACAAAATCCTTGAACATATTGGATCCGTGGCATACAAGCTTGATTTGCTGTCTTCGATCAGGGCTCACAACGTTTTCTATGTGAGCGCCCTCAAGAAATATTTGGAACCTGACGATGTGGGACGCAAGCCAGAACGGCCACCACCAGTGATCACTAATGTTTCTGACGACGAAGACGAATGGGAAGTTGAAGTCATTCTCAACGAGCGCAAGCGACGAAACAAGCTACAATATTTGGTTAAGTGGAAAGGTTATCCCTTACACGAGGCGACGTAGGAACCCGCCGAACACCTTTCCAATGCGCCTGAGGCTCTTCAAGACCTCAAACAATCCAAGGAAGTGACGCCATAAAAAGCTTCGGATACAAATTTACTTCCTCGACGCCGTGGTCGTCTGCCCAAACATAGACAAAACAGGTAACTGTATATGCAATGGGTTGTGGTGTATTTTTTTTATATAATTCCTCTGGGTCTATTTCACCACAACGACTACCTTTTGGGATCTCTCGCGACGTTTTAATTTGCGGGGGGAGAACCCTAGACCAGGACGATTTTTATCCAGACGACGCACAAAACGATCCGTCACTGCTGTAGAAGAGTTCCAGCATATGAACCCACTTAGACGCGCACAAGGACGGTGCATACTACTTGCAGATCGACGTACAAACATTAATGAGCTACAAAGGACGGCGATTGAAACGACGCAAATCAAGAATTACTTTGGACGAGTCGACGGATCAATGGCGAGCACCTAACGTTTTACTTCAAGTTGACCTCTTGAAGTAGACGGGGGAGGATGCAATAGTGCATACTGTTACGACGATATCCAACCTGCATAGTTGACGATCGACAATGCATGGTTCAGACAATAGGATGACTTGCGGTCAACCGTATAGTTGAATATGGAGTAATAGGCGTGGATATTCTAGATAGAAGTTATGATGTAGATCAATACTTAGACGATAGCTAGCCCCCTATTACTCGACGTATATATAAAGACGGGATCCTGAGTTATATGGATCCCCATCGTTTTATCCTTTGATATATCCGAGTCTCATCTTATTCATTGATCCATACTGTCTACCCATTCACGTTCCCGATTGTAAGTATCTGGGCCGACACTATTACAACACACCACATCATACTAGGTGAATGAACAATATCTATAATTTTTGTTATAAATAACAAAATTATAATATTATTCTATTCTAGTCAAGCTCCAGAATCAAAGATTCTGTCGGGCGTCAACCTAAAGGTCTAGCCTGGTTTTTCCAAAACATAATAGTTGAGATTAATCCTAGTGGTTGAGAAATTATTTTTTTAAACAAAAAATTAATTTCATGATTTATTATAATCACTTAAAAATTATATTACTTATAATTTTTTACATAATTATAATTTCACTAAAGACATAATACTAAGGGCTACCCCCATAATAGTGGGTTATCTATTGATATGTTTAATCAAAAAGATTAATTAAAAGCATATATTGAAGAATATAGTCTAGGCATATTGTAAAAAGAGCACAGTATTTATTAGAATTATATAGAAATTTTATGGAAGAATATTATTAAAGCATAGAAAAAAAGGATAACCTATATTTAATGTTATAGGTTTTCTTTTTTTATTATTTTCTTTTCATTTCTTACAGGTATCTTTTTTATTTCTAGATCTTTACTATTATTATTAACTACTAAACGTTTTTTTAGAATATGTAGTTTACTATGTTTAGAGCATAAAAAATCTTTCTTACCTTCTGGTATATTAGTTTTAATTTTACATGAACAAAATTTACCTTCATTCTTTCCTTTTTATACTTATATATACAGAAATCATTGTTTATACTAAGATAAAGGAAATGATCTGATGAAAATGTTTCATTTATTTTTTTATCTATTTTTTTTTATATTTTTTTGATTAATTTTTTTTCATTTTCTAAGAAATGCTCAAATTCATATTCCATGAAAATATTTATTTCTTTACATAAATTATTACGAAGTTGGATATGATTAATTGGAAGATAATCATTAAGTGCAACCATTGTTAAATCTTTTGATGATTTTATTGTTATATAAAAATAAAATTCAATTTATATTAAAAAAGTAATTGAGTTTTAAAAATTTAAATATAAATCTTTTATAGTAGCTATGTCCTAAAAATCTTAACCAAATCAAACCAAAATTTATATTCATTCTTATTTACAACATATACTTTATTATCTTTAAAAAAGGCTTTCTTATCATCATCTGTATAGAATATTTCCTTATCAGAAAGTAATTTTAGCATTTTATTCATAAACTCAATAATATTTTTAATCTGTATCACTTTTTTAATATGATTATACTGATATAACTTATTAATGAAAATGATTTTATCAATCCTTGAATCATCAGCAAAGTCATATTCATAATAATTAACCAATCCATATGTTTCTGGTTCAACTATTATAAAATGGATGGCTATTATTAATAACTTTATATATATCTGAATATAAATAATCAATAATTAATTCTTGATAGCTTATTTTTATATATATTACAAAATTTAATTTGTGAACAATTTAAATTTTTATTACTAACAAAAAATTTGTTACCAATAGTTTTTATATGAAAATAGTTGGTAATTCATATGTACCAGGAATATTGTTCCTGTGGGTACTGCATTACCTTATTGGTTACAAAAACATAATTGTTTTTAATAAAAGTAATTGCTTTTCAATATCTAAATAAAATAATTAAAAGATTTTAACAATTCTATAATTAATATTTTATTTTTCTTATTCTATCTTTCTTAGGTCTTTTAAAAACTTTAATATTTTTCTTTTCTTGAATTTTCATTCATTCTTAATTTTATATAATATATAGATTAAATCATAATGAAATTGGTAGAAATCGAAATAAAAAAGAATTATATAAATTTAAATGAGGAAAAATATAAAAAAGTTATTATATGATAAACTATTTATTCAAAAATTATTCTTATATCCTCCGATAATTTATTTAATAGTAGATTATCATCTGCTTTTTTATAATTATTATTTAGAGCATCCCCAGCGGACTTGCTAAAAGCTATTTTAGCAACAAAATTAGTGAGTTTGATTTCCCAGCAGACTCGCTATCGCTGTCGCTATTTTGCAGACTGGCTTAATTTTTCGTCGATCCTCACCAAAATAGTGAGTGAAACCGGACTCACGAAAAATTAAAATTCTTTCTATCTCAATCTACAATATCAATTACCAATTCTGCCACCCCTGCTACTGAATTGTGAGAAATGCTGACGCTTACCCCAGCCCCACAGCAAAGCAAGCCCAAGGGATGAGGTGCATCGTGGACAGCTGAAGAAGAGTTGTTTCTTTGTGCTGCATGGGTTAAAGCCTACACAGATCCCCTGAGAGGCACTGACCAGAGTTTAATAGCTTTTTGGGATTGCATCTACACATACTGGAGCGATGCTGGCGGTGACACTGAGTAGCGAAGCAACGCCAGTGCACTCATGAACCACTGGACCGAGATCCAGAAGGATGTCACTCTGTCTGTTGGTTGTGTCGCAGAGTACGAAGCACGCAACCTAAGTAGGGAAAATGAAACACTGAAGGTGAAGAATATTCGTGAATGTTATTGCATTAAAACTCATAGATTGATCTTATAAATAAGTGGGTAAACATCGGTAAACTTTTCTCTGACAAGGTGAAAAGCTGAGGCAAGAAAGGGAAGGGCGCCGCGTTCAAATTTAAGCATTATTACGATGTGCTTAAACTCGAACAAAAGTTTCTGATGAAGTACGTCAATGCAAGCGAGGATGAAGAGCGCCCCATCGGTCGCAAAGCAGCAAAGGCGCTGCAAGTCAAGGAGAAGCTCGCGAACGAACTTAAATGCAAGCACAAGTTAGATGACGACCGTGTCCGATAGCTGGAAATTGAGGAGGAGCATTTGAAGTTGTCAAAGCGAAAGATTGCCATTGCTGAAGCGGCTAAAGCCAGAGCTCGCTAAGATGCTGACCAAGTAGTGATGCTCACTGATCCTTTGTGGTTGACACCCATCGCCCGGCAATTCCTGGAGCTCCGTCAGTAGGAGATACTGATGAGATACCAGGACGAAGCGGCACAGACGCAGGCACAAGCCGACAAGGAAGAAGAAGAAGAGCAGGAATTGGAGTAAAACTTTATTCATAATTGCTATGCTGCTGCCAAAGGTGCTCCATCAAGTCATTTTTCAATTGCTTATGAGTCTCTTTACTTTTGATTCTAAGGAGTTGCTCTCTGTACTCGTCGAACGTATTACAGTTCCTTTAGACAGGCAGGAGTGATGCACGACCTATTTCTTGCAACTCTTCAAGATTTTCGCTTCTTTCATCTTCGACAATCATGTTGTGCAAAATGATGCACACCCGCATAACCATTGTCAGGTCGACATGCTTCCACAGTCTTCCTGGTTGGCGGATGATGGCGAAGCGTTTCTGCAGCACACCGAACGCCCTTTCGACGTCCTTCCGTACAGCTTCTTGCTTTCTCGCAAAGTACTGTAGAATGTTGTTAAAGTAGTGTAACTTGAAACCTATAATTCACACTTACCTTCTCTTTGTTGCCAACTGGCATCCAAACACTCTTCACCAAGTTGCCCACTCAGGGTAGATGCCATCTGCCAGATAGTAGCCTATGGTATATTCGTAGCCGTTGATGGTGAAGTTTGCGGGTAGTGCGACACCTGAGGCAAGGTTGGCGAAGAGGGTGGATCTTTGTAGAACGTTGATGTCGTTGAGCGACCCAGGGAAGCCAATTCCTACATGCCAGATCCATAGGTCGTGGGAAGCAACAGCTTCTAAAATTACTGTTGCTTTTTTCCCCTTTCCTTAGTAAGCCCCATACCAGGTAGTGGGACATATATCCCAGCTCCAATGCATGTAGTCTAGTGATCCAAGCAATTCCCTTATTCCGGCCCAGAAATAAGAGTTGGGTGTTCCCCCCCACAATTTTTTTGGGATTTCAAGGTCAGCCACTAGAGGCGCTGTACTAGGCAGCAATGCAGTATTTCAGAGAGGGAAAATTTCACCAAGCTCGCAAACAGAAATATTGCTACAAGATGTGTAATCGAATAACGTAAGCAAAAAGAAAATAGTGTCAAAGAAGTGTACTAATTATCAATCAGACCATGAAAACATGATATATTAAGTAAACACCCATGATACAATAGTTATGGTCTTGATGTAATCGTACTATTGCAGCACTTTGATTTATAAGAAAATCGAAGATCACTTTAAAGAAAAACCGGTACTTTACTGATAGTTAACGAGTAGTCTAGTTACCTTGAACAATAACAGATAGACCCATTATAAAGATTTCATTGAAATACATGCCTCCTCTCACCACCCTTCATCGTTTCTCACCACCCGCCATGCCATTTCACCTCTAAAAAGCTAGTCACTACCCGAGGGGTGGTGTAGGTGGGGTGGTGCAAATAGCCGTTCCCGCCTCTAGTGGCTGACCTTGAAATCCCAAAAAAATTATGGGGGGAACACCCAACTCTTATTTCCGGGCCGGAATAAGGGAATTGTGATCCAAGCATGCCCGGAAACCTGCGTTCGCTGTACTCTGCAAGGAGTTTCCCGACAACTTTTTACGAAGGGCTTTGAAGGTACTCCTTGCCAAAGCACTAGTCGATAGTCTTGCAGAACATCTTGAGACACTCGACGGCAGTGCTCTCTCCCATCTGCAGATACTCGTCGATTGCATCACCGGAAATTCCATAAGCAATCATCCGTATTGCAGCTGTTGCTTTGAGTTTGGGAGACAGGCCTTATTTACCAGCAGCATCCGTTCTCTGAGTGAAGTACTGGTTTTCCTGCCCCAAGCTTTGAACGATTTTCAAGAACAGATTTCTGCGCATTTGGAACCGACGTTGAAAAAGATGTTCCGGATACACTGGATCTTCGGCAAAGTAGTGCATGTAAAGTTTCGCATCAGCAGAAACATGATCTCATCTAATGACGGCGCGTCCAGGTACAGATCCTCCTTGACATTGATGCTCTTCACTGTCGTCAGAATCTTCGAACATTTCTCTGATGTGTGAGATGTGTCATCTACGAGCGCGGTCTTCGTCGTCATCAAAAAGAAGTTCGTGTATTTTGCGAATGGTGGACATTGAAAAAAGGAAGTCGAAACTGTGAATGAAGAGAGAGCAACTATAGTTACTGCTATTATTTAATTTGGCGAGCAAAAAATAGCGAGTCTGCTAGGATTTTGTGTCATTTCTATGGTCTTACTACATTGGCGGCTCTGAAAAATAGCAAGAAATTTCGCGAGTCTGCTGGGGATGCTGTTAGAGGTGGATTATTATCCACTATATTATTTAATAGTAGATTATCATCTACTTTATAATTCAGAGATAATATAGAAAATGTGCTTAGAAATTATGTTATAACTTTCTCATTTGAGAAAATATTTAAATGTAATTACTATATATGGTAATTACTATAAAAGGAAATAATTAAAACAAAGTATTTAAATTTTTATATAATTTCAGAATTAAGAATGCCCATTTTGATTTTTCTTTTTTAAATAACTTATTCTTATATAAAAATTAAAATTAATTAGCATTAATCATATCATCAATTAATTTACAATTAATTCTAATAATAAATAATAATAAAATTATAAATTTAAAAAAAAAAACAACTTATATAACCCTCTGATATAATAATAAAGCGGATTTTATCCGCTATATATAAAACTCAGTATTAAAAATTCTTCAAACAATAGCTTTTCTTTGAAAAGTTTATAATCTGCTTTTAGCGGATGTATATCGGGAGATATAGAAAGTTAGTTTTTAAAAATATTAAATATTTTATTATTTTTATTAATAATTGATAGAAATATCAACCATTTTATTTTTTTGTTACTAACAAAAAATTTGTTACTAATAGTTTTTATATGAAAACAGTTAGTAGTGCATATGCGCCTTTGGTCCTAGTACTGACGATCAGATCATTAACGTTATTGTTATTTGACCCATTAGCCACACCAATAGAGCTCGATTCAAGCTTGAGTGAGAGCAGCAGCCAAGCTACAAGCACGATTGACTTACTGCAACTGCCACCATCAGTTTCGACATTTGATATTACTGCTGAGGGAGAAGAGGACGGAAACACCGATGGTAAATTTATGTTCTCAAATAAACTTAAGATAGTAGCACGAAATTTAAATTCTTAGTTATCTTATACACTATGTTCTACACAGATATTACACAACCATCCAACTTCATTATTATGTTCTACCTTTTCCTAGCCTTGTTCTAAGATCGCTATTTGAGCAGGGCTGGTGGTGAGCTGCTCCTCTATTTTCTATCTGTGAACACTGTTTATGAGGCATTTGTAGGCAAATGTTTGGAATGATTACCATCATTCTAGGGTTTCGACTACCGTCTCAATGACCAGCTAACCACATCATCGAAAATCAAAGATTTTCTCTGACCACCCCTAATTATATTGATCATTATTTATCATTTAAAAATAAAACTTAACAACTAAATATATAAAATAAATCAAAAATAAAAAAATTAATAAAGTATTGAACAGCCTGCTGTCGTTTTTGCCGGTCTCTACATTCCAATCAGTATCCCATGGTCAATGGCTACTGTACGCCGCTTATCTGGTCTTAACGAGCTCTTAGATTGCGGTCAAGTGATCGTTATATGTCCCAGCTGCCACTGCCTCTATCCCTTTGAACATATACCTACCGACTTGAAATGCTCGTTCCAGAAGTTCCTATACCATCCAATGACAGCATACCGAGCCCCATGTGGTATGAACTTGTTTCATTTGAGAAACAGAAACCTTGTACCTCCCAAAGTGTATGCGTATCAGCCTGTGTCAGCAAGCCTTGTAATTATGATGCATAGACCAGGATTCAGCGAAAAACTCGAGCACTGGAGGAAGCAAACCCCACGACCAAATTCTTTGGATGATAAATACGCTGGTCGCAAATGGTGGTCGATGATGGCGCCAGAATCCACAGCAGAAAACCCTGTATCATTCGTTGGATGTGTAGGAAATCAACACTCACTTATGTTGATGCTCAATGTCGACTGGTTCCAGTCATTCGATAAGCAGACTTCGTATTCTGTCGGTACACTGTATATGACAATCAATAACCTGCTACGATCTGAAAAATTCAAGTCATCAAATGTTATATTAGTCGGAATAGCACTGGGACTTTATGAAAGTTCTAAAGGTACCAATTTGATTATACTGTTGCTTATCTTGTTGCTCGTTGATACTGGAGTCTCGCATGTGTGGTTCTGATTTCCTTTCATTTTTTTATATTGATAGAGCAAATCAATAATTTCTTGCGTCCAATGGTCGACGATCTGTTACATTTATATCATGGCAAAGATATGGTTATTGATGATGGCTCCTTGGTCAAAGTGCGAGCAGCTCTATTGTTCGTAGCATCGGACATACTGGCTTCAAGAAAGGTTTCTGGCTTTACAGGTCCAAACTCATTCTACGGATGTAACTATTGCGACATTTCCTGGCCATTGCAAGCAGAGAATCCAAGGCTGTGCAATTACTCTAACTTTGACTTTCCTTGGAGATTACGGACAAAGGCAAAGAACTTAGTAGACGCAAAAGCTTGGAAGGCAGCAAAAACGGCTACCGAAAGGACACAGTTGGAGAAGTCAAATGGAACACACCGGTCTGAGTTGCATCGTCTTCTATACTTTGATCCTATTTCGCAGACAATAGTCAACTGTATGCACAACATGTTCTGTGGGACAGCCGAGCGCATGGCCACCATATGGAAAGATGACGGAACCTTGACCAAGGAGCATTTGACCGATATGGAGAGCTGCCTTGAAACGATGGTGGTGCCCCCATCATACAGCATCGCTCGCGGCTGTATTACGACTGGATTTACTGGAATGACGTCAGATGAATGGAGGTCGTGGACTGTTGCACTCTCGCCGTCGTTGTTGAAGGGAAGATTGCTTGGAGAAAAGATGACACACTGGTTGCTCTTTATCACGGCAGCATGTCTCCTCTGTAAGCCATCCATCACCATTGCCGAAAACGAGGAAGCCTACCAACTGCTGCTCAAATTTGGCTGCAACTTTTCAAGATTGTACTCTAGAGATCAAGTCAAGCCAAATATGCACTTGCATGTTCACCTTTGTGA